CAACAAATAGCAAATAAATGCTTATTTTTTGGTTTCTTTTGTTTTAATTTGTATTTACTTATTTTTACTTTCTACTTTAATTTATCTTTTTCACGTCAAAAAAACTTCCACTAAATGCTATATGTGTCTACTTTGACATACATACGTATGTAAATATGTACTTAAAGCTAACAAAACCAAAAACTAAGCAAAATTAAAGAAAATGAAATTAAAAAAAAAAAAAAAACAGCAAAGTCTCTGGCAAACCTTAATAATTATTACCTCAATGCTAAAATCAAAGTAAAGTGATTTGTGTGAATTGCCAAAATATAAAGTAAAAATAAAATAACATAAAATAAAAAAAAAAGTTAATGTAAATATAAATAAAATTATTAATATAAATATATAAATAAATTAAAAAGCCCGACAAAATGTAAAAGTAACATGATTCAGCAGCAAGTATACATATGTATGGATGTATATGTGTAAGACATATAATATTTTTTCGCGATTTTCTGAGCTACTTAATACAACTAATCGTACAAAGAAATATATGTATATTTAAAAATTTTCCACACAAATTACCAACCAATCAATTTATCAACAATTAATAGTCAAGTAATAAAAAAATTTAATTTTTTTTCGCTTATAAAAAGTGTCTTACGTCGCGGCGACCTAAAAATAAAGCTGATTATATTTAGATAAAACCAGAAAGTAACCGTCTTTATCTAAATATGCAAAAAGTCATTCAAAAAATTAATAAAAGTAAAGAGAAGTAAAAACGAAAAAAAAATAGTAAGAAATCAAAATAGTTTGCAATAAAAATTAAATATCAACTAGACATACATATGTATGTGTGTACGTAAATATAAAAAACATCCTATTAATAAAATCATGAATGACTGAATTAAATGCCAGAACAAAAAAAAAACACAAAAATAAATCATTGCCAGCAAAAAGGCTTCTGAAAGCCGAGATTAACGTCAACGAATCAATTTCTAGCGGTGAAGATGACAATCGACGCGCTTTGTAAAGGTACATACTATATATTATATATGTACACATGCATACGTACATCAACATTTTTAATCTTTATAGCTCAAAATATATACATTTTGCATTACATACATATCTATACACGGTCCGTATATTTGTTGCTCGCATGGTAATAGTAGATTTTGTCAACTGATATTCCCGGTCTATTTTTATTGAATATTCTGGTTGAAATATTTAATCGCACGTGCACACCGTATCGTGTCGTTGCTATTTTTTATTTTTCTGAGTGCAAATGTACAATATACATATGTATGCACACCCACATGTACATTAAGTAGGGTGCTTAAATATTTTTGAAAATCTTCTTTTGTATTATTATTTTGTTCATGATTTTCAATATTTTCATAAGGAAGAAGAAACATTTTAATTTTCAATTTTATTTTTTATTTCTTTTGAATTTTTTCGGCGTAGCATTTGTCTGCTTGATTTCCTAGTATTTTTTTAAAACGCAATCTGCTGCTAAAGCAAAATAATCTTCTAAGATCGTGAAATATGTAGATTAAGAATATAATACCGAAAGATTTAATAGAAAAACGTATAAAGCTATCATCAATTTTTTTGAAAACCACTTTAGTCGCTAACAAAAAACAAAGTAGCATATTTATGGGCGCAAATTTTGTTTCTATTTTTTAGAGACTTTAAAGTACTTTGTATGCAGATTTTGTCTGAGTTAACCCCTAGTAAAATGTTCAGGAGAATGAATTGCTAAAACATTTTGACCCCCCAACCGCTGGCCGAACCAGCATTTTGAGGGAACTTTTCAAGTAAAAGTAAAAAAGACCCATTAAAGTGGCAGCTACGGGTTTAAAATGTACGAGAAATTGTTTCTAGTGAATTTTTTAATATACAAGTAATTCTTAAATTTTTATTCCATTTATATATGTATCATGTTTTTTCCAATGTTTTTAATTTTTATTTATTTATTTATTTTGTAAGCAACTGGAAAACTTAGGAGATTGCGAAAATGATTTCCAGCTAACTTCAAAAAAAAAAAAAAGAATTGAAAGTTTTTACTTTTCGAAAACATTAACCAATGCAATAAATATTTCACTAATTTTCTTAAATTTCAAAACCTGCAAAATTCTACACTTATAGCATTATTTTATACCACTTGGCTTCGCAATTCTTACTAACAATAAAAGCCGAGAAAATATGTCAAACGAGAGAGCGTCAACTTACAAGCGTGTATATATGTATGTATGTATGTCTGTATAATTATTAATGTTATAAATTATAAGTCATACGCCAATCGCTGCCACTACTTGAACGTTTTCTATGTTTTTTGCTTAATTAGAGGGGCCGGTCGGTTGTCGGCAGTCGCAGCAAACAAGCTGTCACTGCCAGTCGCTATCGCAGCTCAAGCAGTGGCAGGCTCTTGCCAACAAACGCCTGTGCATGGCTTATGCAACAAGTTGGAAGTTTCAGTTCATTTTAAATTTCTACAAGTCGTTTTAATTTTATATTCTTACTTTTTATTTTTCCTTTCTTTACTTATTTTTTTAAAGTTAATTTTTTTCCTATTTTAATTTTTTAATTTTTTTATATTTTTAATTATTTTATTTAATTTTTTTTTAATTCTTTTTATTTTTAATTATTTCTTACATTTTATTTTTTCTTTACCAATCATTCTTCTTCTCACTACTATCGCCCACCCACCCCACTTGATAATATATAAAATGCTACGCCAAAACTCGCTACACCCTAGATTTGAACAGCTGTTGATTGAGACAGTTACCCGAAAATTGAAAAATAAAAACATATGTACATATGTATGTATTGTTATACGGGCAGCGAGGGGCTCGACCAATTCAGCCACGTATGGGTGTTTCTAGATGAATATATACATATGTACATATGTATGTGTATATACTGGTATGTATAATGTTTTACATTTTGAAATTTTTTTGTTCGCAAGTTTGTTTGTGTGTTTGTACTTTTTGCTAGCGGAGCGTGTTTTGGTCTGAATTTTGCTATCACGTGGCATTTTTTTTAACGCGCGACTGCCAATTCGCTCATGCAATCTTCAACCAGTTCGTGAACAGGTGGACTGAACTACATAATTTGTAAGCAACACTAAAACCGCATGCAGTACATTTATTTATATATGTACATATGTGCATTACACTTAAACTAAACGTACATTTTGCCATTTATAAGAATTTATTTAATTTTATACATATGTGTACATATGTAAGTACTATATGTACGAGTATGTGTGTATTTCAGGCGAGCCGCCTTTGCTTGCCATCACACTTTTGGCTGTAACTGCATTTTTATATAATATATGTACATATGTATGTATGTATATGTGTGGTATGAGACACACCTCCCCAGTTTGAATGCTTTGAGCACTGACATTTAGTGCCGTTGCTAGTGTATTGCAGCGGCAGTTTTTGTTGCTATTTGCTGGTTTGACTGACGGACTGACTGTTTGTATAGCTAATTGGTTGGCTGCTTGTCTGTCTATGACTGTTGCACTTACATACGTGTACTTGCGCCCCCTTTTCCCATTGAAAAGTATAAAATATTTGTGCAATATCGCCGATAAATACATATACATATGTAAATATACATATATGCATGTACTATTGCACTAATAACTGCATGATTGGTTTATTTTTAGACATTTTTTGATTTATATGCACACTTATTAGCGTAATTATGGTATTTGACGTGGCTGAATTTAATCTCTTTATTGTTATTGTAGTATTATAAAAAAATAGTGATTGAAGCAAAAATACCTGAGTGGCTAATATTCTTCTGTATATAACGATTTATATAAATATAACTTTTTTTTTTACTTATGAATCACATTTCAGAAGCTTTTATAATTTATTGTTTACTTTTCGGCTATTATTTATTTGATTTCTTACACCACACCCCATTTCAGATTAATCGATTATGAATTATTAAATAATTTTTTACTTGTAATTTTTTATGTTGATTTTACTTTCATTATTTTATTATTATTTTTTTGACAATGAGAAAAAAATTTTCTTCTTTCAAGTTAATAAAAAAATAAATAAAACTTAAATACTTCGCAAATTATGCGCAGTCGCAATATCGTTTTAAACAATAACTCGCTAAAAAAGGCATTAATTTATTTCCTCATCTTTTATTAATTTTAGCAACTTATACAAACGTAAATCTTCAAGCAAATTATGGAATTTCAAATCAAAACAACTTTGGCCTTCTAATGTTTATGAACGGTTTAATCAACAGTAATTATTTTTTTTTACTTTATGCCACAAAAAAAATGAAGTACATACATATATGAATGTTATGTACATGTAAATGTTTGTACACACAAAATTTAAGAATAATTTATTATTGTACCTATGTAATTAACCACAAAATTAAAGAATTTATGCTTTTTTATTTTTTTATTGTTACTTTTTTATTTCTATTTACTTTATTTTTATTCATAATATTGCTATTTATTTAATTTTTTTATTTTTTTTTTATAATATACTTCTTTTATTAATTATTTTATTTTTTTTTTATTTATGCTTTATATTTTATATGTATTTTTAATTAATGAATTTTTATTTCTCTCTACTTTATACCAAATCGAACTGACAGCAACTTGTTCAATTCTGCAGTTGTTATTGCAATTTTATAATTAAAAATATACAATAAACCAATAATTACGAAACATTGCATTTATTAGAAAATACATTTTAACGTCCATAGTGCCTACATACATATTTACAATATATAAAATTTCCATAACTACCAGTAACGTTAATGCAAAAAAGCGTTTTTTTCTAATTTGCTGTGATTCTTAAATATTTATGATTTGAAATCCATTAATAAAGCAGTAGGTTTGGCTAAAAATCAATTGAGTAAATTAATTTGGCATAAATTTGATTTACTTTCCAATACACGAAATATAATTGCAGTAAATAAAATAAATATTTGTCAGATGTACAAATGTATGTATTACTGTCACGGTCGCAACTTACCTTCCCAGTATTTCTTTTGGTTCATATTTGGCATAAAAGCCTTTGGCCGCGTCCTTATCGGGCAAAATATCATCCTCCTCCTCGTCTTTAGCCATTGGTTCTGGTGGAATTTTGACGGTCAAATTTGAGAACTCAAAGTAAAATCAATTCTGCACGCTTTTCAATATACAACAAGCATATATTAACTTTGTTTAACGTAATAATTTTGAAATATGATTTTCCGATAGCGTTTGACCAATCAGTACCTTACAATAACCGTTAGTGATAATTATTTTGCTGACTGATTGCTGAGTAGCTAGGCGGGTTCCAACAGTTGATTTTTATTTATTAATTTTTTTTTTCAGACAGTCGCTACTTAATTTTTTTACACTTTTGACTTGTTAGTGTTTATTTATTTCAATATCATCAATGGATTTTTCACCTAAAAAATTTTGTAAATTAAAAAAATAAATAAATTAGTTTAAGTTCACACACACTTTATTTTATTATTATTTTATTATTATTTAGACGTAATTGCGAATTAAACTCGCGTGATTTAATTAGAGGATTTTAAAATTTCCATTAGTCGGATATGCTTTGTTTTGTGCATATTCTATTTTTTGACTACTTGTTAGAATTTTTACTTGATTACACAACAACACAAAACTCTTGGTACGCTTGTGCGAATTTTCATTCAAATTTTCGCACCACAACTATGTGTGAAGGCAAATGGTCAGAAAGTAAGCGAGGCAAAAACGTATATATGTACGTTCATACGTACATTTATATATACGTTTACCTAAATACAGACGGCTATTGCAATTGCTAGCAACGCATGTTGCTCACAATGCAGGTTTCCAAAAATTTTCCACTTATATCTTGTTTTTATATCAATTTTCAAGCCAAACTGAATTACAAAATATATATATAACAATATAATAAGATATATACTACTTGAATTTTTGGATTTTAAACTCTTATAACAAGTTGCTGGTTTCCTGATGTTCATTGCTAAATGTATATTGGATGTCACGCTTAGACACCTTCAACTATCTATTTGTTCATCTCACGCAGCAGGGAGTATTATTTATAAATAGGACCAGCTGTCGTACGAAAATAATTGTCGCTCCGCCTTGCTAATCTTTTCGTGCTAGTTTTGAGTGTATTCAACTTTCAATATTTACAATTTTGTCTACCTGCCGTCTGGTATAAACTTTTGCCAAAGCTATTGTTTCCTGCCTTTCGATACACTTGCTCACTGAGAGAAACACAGGCAATATTAATCTTTACAATGCTTGCTCCTACTTTTTTTCTTTTCTTCAATTTTTTGCTGCCATTGTCGTTGCTGCCGTTCAATGTCAAAAAAGGTTAAAGTACATTCAGCGTTTTTGTCCACTCGCCTTGACTTCCGATACCATTCTGCCACACATCATTATTATTACACTTTAAGGGTGCGATTTCGAAGAACAAATTAGTGTAAAATTTAATACACTGCTATTATTTGTTTAAGTTTTTCTCAAGATTACTATATTAATCATACATTCACTATCGCGAAATCCACTTTTATTTATAAATTATTGGCGATTTCAGTCCATCAGCGCTTGCCGTCGCTTTCGTTTCGCGGCGTTTGCAATTTGCACTGTTGCTTCTTCATCCACTGACACTTCGATTTTATTTAAAAACACACATCTACTTTCAACGTCACACACTCGCGCTTGCGTTGAGCTGCTCCACGGCGTGTTTTTCTCGTTGATTCGGACACAAATGTGCGATTGTGCGATCTAGTAAATTTCCAATGTTCAGGAAGAGAATTCTGAATGCAATAGCAAATGTCGGATGAAGAAAAAATGGCGAAAACAAATAAGAAAAAATAACAAAATCGGACAAAAAACACAAAACTGACATTATGTTTTGCAGTGACATTCGCTTAAAAAAAACTAAATTAACCCTTTAGTTCATTATTTTTAAGGTTTCTTAGAAATCTATGCCCAGAGAACGCAAACAGAGAACGTAAATACAACGGGAAGGTTCAATTGCATTTCACCACAGGCCGCCAGAAACTAACAGAGTTTGCTAAAAAAAATAAAAGAAAAATGAAAGAATTCAATCAAATTTATGTTATGTCTCAATTATCATGACTACCCATAATTTTATTATTAAAAAATTATTAGAAATTAGAAATTCTCATTATTGTACTCATTCTACTATTTTGAGCACAATTCTGCTAGTTCTCTGTTAAAATGTGGTGAACAGGGCTCATCGAAATCTGGGGTGAAATGCATCCATAGAAAACTGGCGTCGACTGCAAAGCGGGACAAAATGACAATTGGCACGTCCTGGACCAGAGAACGTAAATATAACGAGAAGGTTCAATTGCGGACCAGCGTGTAAACTGTCAAAAGCTGCCAAGTTACGATGGGTGCATTTCACCACAGGCCGCCAGAAACTAACAGAGTTTGCTATTGATGCATAACATTACTGAGCGTAGCAAAATTAAAAATGCTCAGCAATGTACTGATCTGTCTGCAACTAACATTGTTTATGTTAGCTTCAGATAACGAAATTTTTGTAGGCTTGTTATCAGAATAAACGAAAATATTATTTTCAAATTATTAATATAATTTTTGAAATAGGGGTGAAAGAACAAATTTCAATGAAATATATAGTAATTTTACATCTTTTTCAAAATTCCTTATTATCTAATAATAAATGTACATACAAATGTATGTCCTTATAAAGGAATGATTTGCCGTCGGCATTTCGCAATAGCGGTTTTTATAAGGAGGATTATTTATTCGTGAATTGTAATTTTAACGTATTAATGAGATGTTTGATTAATAATTTTATTAACTCAAAAATCAAAAATACATTAATTTGTGCATATGTACGTATATGGACACCATACAAAATACTGACCAGCCTCAAGAAATATATGCATGCATACATATGTACAAGTATTCTTACACGCATATGCAAAAACATAGAAACACATTGCTTATGTGAAAACATAATTCCCTCTAAATGCTTCTCTCGCCCAAAAGCTGAAATCAAATACAACAATAACATTTTCATTCATAGACGCCTGCGCCCTACAACAAAGCATATTGCGTCCATTCATAAACACCACCGCGCCATACCAACAAGTTGCTTCTTCGCGACAGTGACAAAAAACACAAACACACAAAATCATTATGGTCGCGAAAAGTGAAGCAACACCAACAACATACAAAGCATGCCCTTTTCCTTCAACCCGTAACATTCATGTATCGTCCACAAGCATTTCTTCAAATTTTTGCCACTGACAAAAATTCAATCATCTTCTGCAGAAATGAAGCAAATAGGCATCGTGCTACTAAATTTGCTGTTCGCCTATTACTTCATATAGCACAGCAAGCAATTTCCTTGCGTTCCCGCATGCACCTTGTCCAACAAGTTGAATTGTGTCAAGGATTTCTATGATATTCTAAAAGTTCTAGAAAATTCTAGAACATTCTAGAATGTTCGATTTCAATGAAGACGAGTAAACCCCCTTTCCTTCGACTCTTCATCAACAAACAGTTTCCTCAAGTCGATGTCAGATTTTAGCAAAAATCAAAAAATTCATGTTGAACTCACGCAAAGTGAAAACCCATACATGCAAGCAATTTAATATGTATACGCAAAACGCACACAATCTTAATAATGCCCGAGCCCTTGCTCTTATACCCCGCCATCCACAAGCGATTTCTTCGCGACGATCACAAAATTTTGCTCGATTTCATATTTTTCGCATTTTGGTGTACGAATTCAGGTACAGTAAACTTTGCATACTACGAATATATCAGTCTTTAGTCAATAGCTAAAGGAGTGATTCGTATAGAACTTCATAGATTTGAAATTTTTATTGAAATCTATAATTGTCCTATATTTTTCATAATTGAAATATGCATTAATCTAATAACCGAAGAATTTTATGAATTATGGGAGTCATTTGTATATAGTTAATTAATTCCTCATCGATTTTAAGTTTCTATTGAATTTTACATTAGAGGTATCATTAAGCATAAATTAAATTAAAAAATTCATTTTTAAAAATAATAAGACTTTTTTCTAAACATTTGTTTGGTATTTATATCAAATACATTTTGTAATTCTAAACAAAAAGTTCACTCTATCGAGAGCGCGTTTTGCTGTTGTCGAAGAAGACACAAATTTGTTCAACTTTCAATTTTTGGCACTTTGGTTTGTAGGCGAGTCGCATGCGGGGAGTTGTGTGCTGTCTGCGCAGCTCGTTTGGTAGACGGTGCGCCAGCGTTCATCTCGAGAAGGACTTTTTTGCTATTAAAATACTGTTGTCATGGTGATGGCATGGCTTTTTTTTTGCTAGATGTGTACGTTTTGCTTCTTCTTAATACGCATAAGCAAACATATGTACATACATATACAATATGTACATATGTATGTACGCACGCTCATACGTTTAAATGAATGAATGAATATTGACTTGTTTACTTATTTCGATATTTACGCCAAAAATGAATAATATATGAAAGAATTAAATGAAATTTGTTTTGTTATATCTTAATTATAATGACTACCAATAATTTTATTATTAGAAAATTATTAGAA